AGTGAGTTTAGGATATTATTCAAACTTCTGTGCTCAGAGACAGAGAAGCATAGGAGAGGGCGGGCTTGTGGGGGCTGTCCTACACCTCTTTTAAAGATCTGCATTGAGAAGCAGAGAGATGGGTCTGAAGTGAAAAATGAATGTGAAGTGGGTGGAGAGAGAGAGAGAGAGAGAGAGAGAGAGAGAGAGAGAGAGAGAGAGAGAGAGAGAGAGAGAGAGAATTGAGAATTAAAGGGACATTTGAGCCCCGAGAGAGATGGAGAAGTTAGTTCCTATGCAATTGTCTGAATTTTTGCATCTTGGTACCAGTCTTCCAGAGCCATGGCTGCCCTACATTCTACAATGCAGTCAAGTTCTCCAGCAAATTAATTTGCTAGTTTAAATGGGCCCCTCTACTTTGCAGCCAAGATTAAGACAGAACATACAAAGGGGTACAGATGTCTGGCTCATCATTACAAACCTCCCATCTCCTTTAAGAATCCTCTGATGCCGATTACCTCAACTTTTACAGAAGTGAAGATGGCAAGTACAGAGTTGTAGCAGCAAGTTCTGAGCAGTGCCAGATGGTAGAATCTACATCATCTCTGACGGTAAGGACGATCACGGTTTCTGTACTGAGTAACTGCTCTGTTGAAAGAGTGTTGTACATATTCATCTCTATGATGCTTGGCGTGGTTTTCTTCATGCTTACCTCCAAAGTTCTCTCCCAGATCCCTCTTCTGCTTTAGTAGGCTTTGTGGGATGGAGGCCCCTCTAGCATCTGGTTTACTTAACACTTTCTAGTCTGAAGATGGCTCAGCCTGTAGACTTCACTGTGTACTGGCTCAATTATATATTAACACGTTAGAAAAAGTGAAGTGCTGGCTCCTTTGCTATCTCTGATCCAAACCTGCTGTTCTTTAGGAGTCTGGCTAAGGATAGATACTGTATCCTTTCCACCACACTCTTTACTTAGGGGAGATTCAAGTAAATAAAAACCATTCACAAGTTTGATCTAATTTTTAATACATTGCCAGCCTTTGGTGACATGTCTGCTTCCATCTGAGTGGCTATTTGGTTTTGTGCTTGTTTTTCTCTCTCCCTGCCTGCCTGCCAGTCTATCTGGTGCTAAGAATATCATTCAGGCTTCTGTGCTAGTGCATCAGCTGCCAATGGCCCCCGAGGAGCTGGAGCCACCAAATGCTACAGCTTGCTCCTCCTAGCAGACCCAGAAACCCCTCTGGGGACAGGGGATTGTCTAAGGTCTGAGACTGAGGTGTCTTGCAACTTTACATAACTCATCTCCTCGCTGGAGGAAGAATAGGCACTTCAGTTCCATCTCTGACATTGCGCGTCCACTGCATTCTTCGGGATGAACACGGTTCTGCCCATATCTAAAGCCCATCTCATACTTCTTATGTAACCTTTAAGTCAAACTCATGACTTGTGGGCTGCATTCAGGGAGCATCTTTATTTTTGCCATTTAGTCTCTCTTTGAAGTTTCTTTGTGAGTCCAATTTATTTCCCTTCCTGTGGATAAACACAGTCAGAAGCCAAGACATCTCTGAACTCTCTTAGGTGTCAGAACAGTCTCAATAACATCTGATGGAAAGTTGTGAGCCAGGAGTGGTGGCACATTCCTGTAATTCCAGAAATTGAGAAGTGGATGAAGAAGGATCAGAAGTTCAAGGTGAGTAGTTCTGGGCCACACACACACACACACACACACACACACACACACCCCACCTCTTAAAAGAATCAAAACCAAAGGAAACAAAAAATAAGCCAACAAAATCTTCTCTCTGATCTTGAACCTGTGGAAGGTAAGAAATGTACAGAGAGGGAAGAAACATGTATTATTAGTCAGGGTTCTCTTGAGGAACAGAACTGATAGTGTGTGTGTGTGTGTGTGTGTGTGTGTGTGTGTGTGTGTGTAAAGGGGGTTTATTGGAATGGCTTACAGACTATGGTCAGGCTAATCCGGCCATGGCTTTCTACTGATGGAAAGTCTAAGAATCCAGTAGTTGTTCTGTCCACAAGGCTGGATATCTTAGCTGGTCTTCAGTATGAGCTGGAATCCTGAAGAAGTAGTCTCTAATGCCAGTAAAGGAAAGGACTCAGGGGTGGGGGAATGCAACTGGGGAGAACAGGCTTAGAACAAGACCAAGGTCAAGATGTATCCAAAACTATGAAAATCTCTTCTCAAGACCAGAATCTCATCTTGAGACCAGCAGGAGTAAGAATCACTCCCTCTCTATTTCTCAGCCTGCATGGCCAGGCTGTAGCCCAGTGACCACTATCTTTGTCCTTCTTGGGAGAGTCACATAGCCTCTTGGCCAAATTACAGGTGTAAGCACCTGGAATCCCTCTTCATGTAAATAAAGCATACTCGGCACCTTGGCCTGAGCCAATAATGTACACTCTCCCGCCCAATCCTACCACTCCCCGAAGTTTATACAGCCCTCGTTACCCCTGAGCAGAAAGAGCTGTTGTTTCATGGAATATTGTCTAGAAGAGCTGTTTCACTTTCTCTACATAAAGAACACTGACAATCTTCTCAGAAAATTAGTCTCCTTAAAGCCCTGTTCTTTTGTCTGGAGGTCTCAAGGATGTCAGGTCTCAACTGTCTCTGAGGAAATCTTCCCTAGTGGCTCCCTTCTGACCCTGAACATGCTTAGTATGTGCAGAGGGCTTGTGGGAGATATCTGCCTTGTTTTCTTTACAAAAATATTGGTCCACTTCACCTGTTTGAAATTTGCTATCCCGTGTCCCAAACCCCAGTGACTACTTTACCATCATGTTGAGAATCCATTTGTGTATTCAGTCGGCATGAAGCTCCTAGTGGGGAGGCACTGTCAGGTGCCTATTTAAGACCAGGCACGTATTATTTTAACACTTTAAACAGCCATATTAAACAGTAGAAAATTGAAAATTAGTTTTAGTAATGATACGCCCAACCCAACATATCAAAAACATTGTTGTTTCAATATAAAATCAATATTTTTAAATTAGCAAAGAGGTTTTTTTTTTTCATTCTTCTCTTCCTCCGATTTTTTATGACTCACATTGACATCTAGCCCACCTTTGAGTTAGGAGCAGACACCACATGTCAGGAACTCAGTGGCCATAGGAGGCCATAGATGGCCACCAGTGTCAGCTGTGCTGGGCATACAATTCAGAGCACAAGCTCCACAGGCAGGGTTGATGTCTGTCTTGATGGCTCTTTATCAGTGGTTGGCATACAGTAGGTATTTCACACTTTCCAACCTTGAATTGAGACGCAATAGAAAGAATAAAGGAAACTTTAGGGGGATTGCAGAATGACTCTGCACAGCACTCAGAAACGAGACCATCCAGTTCTACATGTAGTCGGTAATTCATTTCTTTCACAGGCATCCAAAGTCCCCAAAGACAGAGGCATTTCTGTCTTACTCTTTCACAGTCCCATAATCCCCCCGGTTCCTGATATTGCGCTGTGGGACTTCATGCAGCCCACAAGTATTTATTCGGTGTTCGTCTCCGGACCAGTTGCTATTTTAAGCGCAGGGATGGAAATAATGCAATCTGTGTTGATGGAGCCCACAGGGCAAAAAGAAGCTAACGAAGGTCTGTGAAGGAAATAAATTGGGTGACATGATAGGATGTGACAGGGGACAGGAGCACTGGGTACTGGAGGAGGAGGGGCCAGTTCTGCACAGCCATCTCATTCTGTCTCATCACAGTCTTCCACGCCCCCTCTGCCACAGCCTTATTGACCTCGCCCTTTCTAGACTAACTCAAACTCAGCTCTGCCCTTAACTTCCTGTTTCTGCTGTGTCCTGCTCTCCCCTTGGCCTGTCCGTCACTTTTATCTTCCCCCCGCTTCAGTGTCTGTGCTGTCTTCTTCTCAAAGAAGCCATCCCTGACCACTGGACACCAGTGGTCACCCCCCACCCCCACCCCATAATGCTCTGCTGATCACATTATGTATAACACCATCTATGACCTTGTGTATACCGGAAGTAAACTCTTGGTGAAACCCTCTTGGCAGTTGTAAACTTTCAGTGCCTAGAGTATTCCCTTGGTAACTAATATTTGTCCAATGATCAGTGTTCATTAGCTATGATTTTTTTTTAACTGAATGAATAAAGAAAGATCGCTAGTAAAAGTCTTTAGGGGTATGTTTTAAAGGCTAATTTAAACACATGTAAATGAACTCTGGGGAGAAACTTTTATTTTCTGTTTCAGAAAAGAAAGACTGGCTAATCCATCTAAAAGTTACTCTTTCAGGATGCTATGGGCATCTGGTATCCTAGGAGTTGCTTCCAACTCCTTCGGCACTCAACTGAAGGGCATTTGCAGACCCTTGGAAGAGGTCAAAGTACCACAGGCTAAACATCCTTGTGGAAGTGGTGGGCCCTACTGAATCAGCGAGAGGCAGATGTTCGCAGAGATTATGTGTGAAGTTGCTTTGAAGACCCAGGAAAGATCTGGCTAAGAAAGGCGTTGGGACGGGAGGGAAACTTGTGGCGCAGGAAAGTATAACAGGAAATCTGTTGTTTCGGTACACGGCGGTTGCTAGGGACGCCCGCCTTCTCCAATCATCGTTCCTCTTACTAGAGTGCGAGCCACGCTTTGCGGTTGCTGTGGCAACAGATGGTAACAAGATGGACTCGGCAGTGCAGCAAAATGTGGAGCGCAAAAAGTGCAAAGAGTGTGAGTTGAAACCCAGTTTCGGCAGGGAGCACGGTGTGGAGTTGTCCAGGGATTCTGAGTGTACAGAGGTTACCGGATCTTTCAATGGTCTCGGGGTGAAAGAGTGGGCTTGTGGGGACTGATAAGATGGCCCCTACTGTTGACCCCGCTGAAGTTATGGGATCTTGGATTTCCGTACTTGGGATTCCCGCCTGGAAGCACAGGAATGAGGATAACCTCGCTTCTAACTTCAGCTTTGGGCAAATCACCCGCAGTCTTTTCTCCCTAGGAAAATGAACTGGAGGTCCCGTGCCCCTCATTCTGCTGTTCCTGCCCGTCTTCTCAAAATGACCCTGAAAATCAGATGTGTGGCTAATTATACAAAGGAAAAATCCCCAAACATGCTTTTCTTATGCGATCCTGAAACAAGGCTGCAACAGTTAACCGCTTCTCCGCCTCTCCGTGTGTGAGCGCAGTTAGGGCTCAGAGAGTGCCTCAGGATTGGGGCTGGGGACCACTGTATAGGTCTGTGCTGTCCTTCTGGACCTGGGTTCTGTGCGTGCTTGAATTTCTTGATTCCTGACTCTGCTTGGCATTGTTTCGTTTTCATTTCGGAACCTTTAGAAGCGCCCAAGTGTTAATTAGAGGATTGTGTTTTAGTTCTTATCTTTACTTAAAGCCATTAGGGGCCCCCGCTGCACTTTTAGGACCACCTGGAGCTTGTCAGGAAGACTGTAGACCAAGAGCTCTATTTTAAATGAGCATTAATAGTGGAGTCACGGGCGTCCGTGTTAGAACTCAGACCTTAATTAAGATCAAATTCAAAAACAGTAAATAAATAAATAGATAAATACATACACACAATACATATACATACATACATACATACATACATACATACATACATACATACATACATATTCAAACTTATGCAGGATAACCCAGTCAGTCATGGAAACACTAAAAAGCATTAAATGTGGGACTCCTTAGGGACATTTTTCTAAAATGTATTAGACTTTTTCCCAGTCATCCTCACACAGCAGTAGAGGATGTGTGGGGTCCACCCACTGTGTGGGCTCACCCACGGAGTCATTGTTCTTCTGCCTTTTGGGGATCCCAAGTTCACACCAGTTTCTTCCAGGAGAGCACTGTTTATGTGGGGATCACACCTTGCTTGACTGGGGGCTGGGGGTTTCCCTTCTTGCCATCACGTACTCACACACCTCTGTGATTTCTACTGTTTGCACTCTGTGCCAGTCATCCATAGGTCTTTGTATTGCTGCATATTTAGTAAATAATGGGAGGGTTTCTGGGTTATACTGTAAATACGTCAATTTTACATGACGTGGCTCTTAAAGCGAACGTACATTTCCACCAATGTAGAATTTGAGGTCCACCTGTTTTACAGTCTTGAAGGTCATGATGATTTGGTTACTTTTAGCTATCCCTACAGGCATGACATGCTTGCACACCACAGTGTGTGTGTGTGTGTGTGTAGGCCAGACAAGAGCTTTCAGGAGTCCCTTCTGTTCTTCCACTTTGGCTTCTGGGCACTAAACCCAGGTAGTCAGGCTCCCATAGCTCTACCTGGCTGATCCGTCGACCGTTCTGTCCCAGTTTCAACAGGCATTCTTCAAGGTCCATGACACTGAACAACATACATTTACCTGTTGTTACACCATCGATAAAGACGTTCACCTTTGGCTCATATGATTGGCCCATATTTTATTTACTTTCTTTTCTAATTGAGTCGTAAGAATATAATTTCATGTATTGTTATATATAAATAGAATTTTGGTTCAGAATGTCTAGAATACATAGAGAGATAGAGATAGAGGAGAGATAGATATAGATATATATGTATATATAATTTTTAAAATTTATTTTATGTATATGAGTACATTGTAGCTGTCTTCAGACACACCAGAAGAAGGCATCGGATCCCATTACAGATGGTTGTGAGCCACCATGTGGTTGCTGGGAATTGAACTCAGGACCTCTGGAAGAGCAGTCAGTGCTCTTAACTTCTGAGCCATCTTTCTAGCCCACAGACTGTATATTTTTATAGACTTCATATATTTATAATTTTGCGGTGACTTTTGGAACTGGGTAGCTTGAGTTCCTTTTCAAAATTGATCTGGCTTCTTTGGCTCCTTTACCTTTTCATACCAAACTGTGGACCACACCACTGATGTTTGTTAAATGTCCCAGTGAGACTTTGATTGGCCAGTAGGTCACCAACCACTAAGCAGCCAGCAGAGTTCTTTTGTTTTACCTAGACAGAAGCCATGACTAGGCACAGGGAAACTCTCTCATGCTGGTCCCTGGAAGCTTCCACAACTCAGTGGTGGACGCTGAAAGGACTCAGGGTACCTGCCTTGGCTGGAGTGTATTCGGGAGCCAGGATTAAGTCTGATGCCAAGTGCCACTCAGGAAGCACCGGGCTTTTCAGGGAACTGGGCACCAGATGTGGCCAGGATCTCTCAGGGGTGAGTACCTATTGCCAGCTGGGTGGGATCACTGGGTGGTCTGCCAGGAGGGTCTGCAGCCAAAGCAACTATTGATACTTCAGGTGGGTTTGGTCCCATGGGCTTTGATGGTTCTTCAGCTGTCAAGGGACACCTGCCTAATGATCTATGCTTGGAAACTGGCAAAAGCCAGTTAGGACCTCTTTGGCTGTCAAGCTGCCATGCCTTGCCTGGCGGCTTTCCCTCTCTGTTTCCCCTTTCTCCAGGTACCAGCTTAGTCTACACTACTGAAAATGGGTAAGAGGAGAGCACCAGAGAAAAGCCTAGATTGGGTCTGATGCTGTGACATCAGGGCAGGGCAGCACAAGGCAAGGTCTCCAATCAACTCTCAGGGTAAACCTAAGCACTCAGCTAACACAGCTAGGGAAGAGATGCTCGGACCAATCACAGCCATTGGCTTGGACCATTGGTTTATTTTGTCAGTCACACTTGTATCAACTGCTAGCCTTGCTTTTTAGCACCAGTCATAGTTGTTAAGACTTAGATTTGGGATCAATGACGGTCTTAACTCTTAGCAACCTGACATGGTAGACTTCACCACTGGAAGTGCTCCTCCCCTTCACGATAGGAAGTGCTCCTCACCCAGGCAAGACTGAAATGGTTCCAGGGCCATTCTCACGTCATAGCCAAGAGCCCTGTAGGAAGGGTTTCAAACAGCTCTGCCTGTGTCTGTGCCCTCAGGAGCCAGGGTCATGTACTTCAGTCACGTCTGTAGTCATCTCAGGGTGGGCATGACAGTGCTCCATGTGGCTGGAAATGAGACAGGGTAGACTGGCTGGTAGACTGAAGGCTCCTTTGCTCAAGGCAGGTCAGGCAGAAAGAGGGGGGAGGGGAGGGTGAAGGGGAGGGAGGGAGGGGGGAGGAGAGAGGTGAGGAGAAGAGGAGGGGAAGGAGGGGAGAGAGGGGAGAGAAGGGAGAGAGGTGAGAGAGGAGAGAGAGAGAGAGAGGAGAGAGAGAGAGAGAGAGACAGAGAGAGAGACAGAGAGACAGAGAGAGACAGAGACAGAGACAGAGGGAGAGAGCCCACCCAGCGGCTGCTGATCAGGAAATCAAGTTGACCAAGCTCCAGGGTCTTTGCTTATTTACCAGACAATAAACACGATCAGGGCTTACAAACCTGAGTTTAAGGAACCTACCGTTTGACAATGCTGCCACCACCAAGGGAAAGGTAGCTCCCCACCCCCATCTGTCTCCCATAGTTTGGGAAGAGCTAACATCTTGGCAGTATTGAATCCTCCAACAAAGTATATCTTCTTTTCTGTAAGACCTCTTTAGGTCTCGTAATGTTTTGTAGGTTTTATTAACATGTAATTTTACTGCATATTTTAATTAGTTGTGAGTTTATGATATTGAGTTTAAATTTTTGTTACATTTTCATCTATTTACTCTCTCTCTTTTCCTGCTCCTCCGTGTGTGTGTGTGCGTGTGTGTGCGTTCGCACACACGAGCTCACATATGTGATCAGAAGTTAGTTCTCTCCTTCTACCATGTGAGTCCTGGGAATTGAACTCAGGTCATCAGACTTGGTGGCAAGCCCCTTTACCCAAGCAGCCATCTCACTGGCCCTTGATAATTTAAGATGTTCATTTTCTAATTTTTCATGGCTGGTTATCAACTTGGTGCTTCAAACTTTGTTAACTCAGAGTTAGTAGATTTGGAGAGAGAATAAGTTTTTAAACAATATTTACATGATGGTACAGAATAGTGGGAGGATTTTGGTCCACCGCACTGGGACACAACTGCTCAGTTCCTACAGTGTCTGCACTGTCTACGGTGCTCTTCAGGGTTGATACTGTCATAAAGCAAGTGTCTCCAAATAGATGGCCATAGTTCACGACCTGTAACCCTAAGCTTTAAAATCATCATGAGATGTCTTCAAATCATTATTGCTATAGACCCTGATCCTCCAGAACAGCAGCCAGTACTCTTAGCCATCTCTTCTGCCCTGGACTTACTTTTATATTTAACATCTTCCACGCTCTTGTTTCTCCTTGTATCCCTCCACTTGTAACTTTACCACCCCCTTTTTCTACCTGCAATGCACCTTTAGGATGGCTTCAAGTATGTCAACTGTATTATCCTAGTTTCCTGACGGATAACTAGATTGACCCTCCTTGGAATTCCCAGGGCTTATTGGATTTCCCCTGCTTCTGTCCCCTTTCTCATTTTATTTATCCAGTGTACTTGTCACAATTCTTTTGACAGCATCCCATCCTTGGGGTGATGTCCTGTGCTATTTGGAAAGCTACATGCATTTCAAGGAGTTACTGTAGAATGAATTTCTTTATGATTGATTGTCAGAGGTTTGTATGTTTATCTTATTTTCCTTTTTTTTGTTTCTTTCTTTTTTTTGGGGGGGGGGTTAGAGACAGGATTTCTCTGTATAGCCTTGGCTGTCCTGGAACTCACTTTGTAGATCAGGCTGGCCTTGAACTCAGAAATCTGCCTGCCTCTGCCTCCCAAGTGCTGGGATTAAAGGCGTTCACCACCACTGCCCAGTTTATCTTATTTTCAAATACCACTTCTGCCTCAGCCTCTCTCCTTTCCTCTCCAGAATGTCAATGGCCATTCCAGTGTCCCTTACACCTCTCTCTCTTAAGATTTATTTATTCATTTTATTTATGCAAGTGCACTGTAGCTGTCTTCAGACACACCAGAAGAAGGCACCAGATCTTATTACAGATGGTTGTAAGCCACCATGTGGGTGGCTGGGAATTGAACTCAGGACCTCTAGCAGAGCAGTCAGTGCTCTTAACCGCTGAGCCATCCCTCTAGCCCACCTACATATCTCTTAAGCATCATTATTTTATTTTAATCATTAAAATTTTTCTTTGGTTTTTGAGAATTTCATACATGTATACCATAAATTATATGGTCATAGATATGACCATGTCTATCCCTGCTCCCCCTCCAGCTTTCCCCATCCCCTCCTGCAGCT